GTTATAAGTATCAAATTGAAACTATTCAAAATAAGCAACAGCTTGAACAAGAGATGATTGAGTTTGTGTGTGGTGTACGACAATTAAAAAGTGAGAAAGAATATGCACCTTCATCATTACGCAATGCTATTAATTGTCTTGCGATGTTCTTTTAAATCATTCTCTAAATATCAATAAATATAACTTGGCAAGTAAACAAGAATTTAGAGATTTATGGAAAACATTAGATGGTAAATGAAGCAACTTAAAAAAATAGGAAAAGTCGCTCGACATCATAATCCACTAACTAATGCTGAAATTCAAGCAATCTTTGCACATGAAGCAACATCTATTTCTCACCCACAAGGCTTACAATATTGCATATTTATGTGGTGCTGTTTATTATTTGCTCCTCATGGTGGTAAACATAGTGAAATGCGTGTGATACAATTTGTTTTTATACAAAATAATGATTTACAATTTACAAAATTTTCACAAAAGAATGATCAAGGCAGGATCGATGATAACTTAGATTCATTAACCATTCCAGTACCACCTGATCCCAAAGAATTACTTGGCCCAATTCATGATATAAAACTATATATTAATTGTTGGCTTTCTAACTATACTTGTGAATTTTTACATTTGAAAATCAATAATCATTCTAAAGGTAAAATATTTATTTAAAATATCTTTATTTAAATTAAAAAAAAAATAAATACATAAAAAAAACAAATTAAAAATTAATTATAATTATAGCTATTATTCGAAATAAATGGTATCTTGATACAAAACTTGGAACCAAAACCTGCAGTAGCCTGATGAAAAATATTTGCAAAACAGCTGGTATTAATATACAAGGTCGGGATATAGTTAATCACTCTGGCTATACGACTCCAATTATCTCTCTTTACTAGGCTGGTGTACCACTTATTACCTCTATAGCAATCACAGGTCATAAAAGCGAATCTTCTTTTAGAATTTATTTGAGACCTTCAGATAAGCAAAAGGAAGATGCTTTGGCACTTCTTATTGGAACTGCTGGTAATCTACCATCTAATCAAGTAAGTTAAAAATAATAATTAAAAAAAAAATTGTTATTAATAATTACATTATGTGTTGTCCCACTATCCTGTAACTCAAAAAAAAAACTTAATTATAGAAAAGTTCTAAAAACTCCTACTTATCTCAAGAAACATCACAAGAATTAGCATTGTTACAATCTCAAGAATCGACATTATCTCAATCATCCCAAGAATCAGCATCATCTCAAGAATCAGCATTATTTCAAGAATTGGAATCATCTCAGGCATCAGTATTATCTTGCGAATCAACACCACAGTCATCATCTCCAAATACCTTCTGTGTACCTTTTAAGGATACTGCACAACCAAATTTACCTTTACATTCTAATGCATCAATTAAGAATCCAACATTAGGTGGCGTTAGAAAGTTGAAAAAACGAAAAACTACAATTATTAATAACTATTACAATATTACTGTAACTTTTAATTAGTCTAGAAGTAATAAATAGTTATTAGAATAATATGTACTATGCAAATAATAAAATTAGAATTTGAATGCTTAAATTTTAATAAAACATATCTTAAAAGCCCAAATTTTATATGCCATTTAGGAATCTAGTAGTGCCATGCTTTAATACAATTGTTATATAGTTTCTCTCCTATTAGAATTTTAAAAGAACCAAAGATATTAATATTATACACCGTTTAACAGAATCTCAAAATAATATTGTACGCTGTTCAATTAAATCTAAAGATCTAAAAGATCTAGTAATGTCATGCTCAAGGTAATTTCGAAGAATCTTAAAATCCAGTAATAGTTTCAACGTTCAATAGAATTTAATAGAGACAAAGGCCTAGTAATGTCGTGTGTTATTTCAGAATCAAAGATCTAACAATGTGGTGCCATGTTATATAGTAGTAAAATTTAAAAAAACCAAAGTTACGTACCAAAGCTATCGAAGATCGGAAATTTTTAATATCCCGATATAACAAGTTGATCGCGTGAGTTTATTTGAGCTTATTTGGCGTATAACAACTGTTATACGACCTACGTTTACTATGAAAAAAAAAATAAATTGTAATTATTTTTATTATTTGAATTGCAATTATAACATATATTAATTTATAGTTTACATCTTAGATATTATGAAGTACCAGTTCTTGAGCTTAAAAAATATGTACAAAGTATTGAAGATGAAGAAATTTTACAAAATCTGCATTCTAAAGTCAAAGAAATTGCTGAATTTAAAGAAATTAAAGACCGTTATGAAGAACTTAAAGATACAATAAAAGCTCAAATAGATGAATCACTAAATGATAAATTAATGACTAAAATAGATGAAGCATTAAAAGACCCAATCGATAAAATTAATAAATTAATTGAATTTATTGAGAAAAAGAGAAGTCATTTAAATAGATAAAACAAATAGTTGTACTAATAGAAACTTAGTAGCTTTATTATTATTTTTTTTTGAATGTATAAATATTTATTAAATAGTGCTTAGAAATTCATTTCTATTGGAAGTGGATAGACACAAGTTGAAGCGTATATTCTAAATTGCTACTTAATGGTTGAAGTTACAAAAAAATTTATTCTATTCTATTTTGTCCAAGCAAACCATTAATACCATTTGAAATTTTATTATCAATGCTATTATAAACAAGATTCAGTGAGGTTACAAAGTGTTCGTAAAGGGTTTTACTAATATTTTTTCTCCATCAGAATTAATGAATTTACTGAAAGATTTAAAGAAACTAGAGTAGTGTTTCCACATAAAGTCTTCGCCAATGATTTTACTCCTTCAATACCAATATTATCAAGACTAATATCCAAAGAAGTTAAAAGGTATTTTTACATAGAGCATCTGCTAATACTTCATAACTTCAAAACCGAGTCGTTACTAATAATATTTCCAATGACATTTAGATAGTTTTTGAAAGTGCATTTCCTCCACCAATACTAATTTGTTTTATGAAGCCTTAAAGAAGTTAAAGAGGTATTTTACAAAGTGTTTCTTTCTCTCTCAACGCCAAATTGTTTATGATAAAGTTCCAAAGCGGTTAAAGTTGTGTTTTTATAAATAATTTTTCTAATGCCACTCTCATTCGGGAGTAAATTTGCCGCTACCAATATATAATTAGATTAGAGTTTTGTTATTACAAAGAACTCTTACATAGTTCTAAAGTGAGTTCACTTTCCCAAATACTTAACCGAGATAAAATCACACTTTTAAAAAGAGTATTTGCTAATAAATCAGTTATTTTATTGTCAGTAATTTTATGAAACCATAAACTTTGAAGTTTATTCGAAGTTCGTAAAAACATTACAATTAAAGAAGAGTTAATTGCTTGAACCAAATATTTATCTTTTTAGAATATTCCATCACTTGAAGAAATTTCAATATGTCTAATGTAAGAAATGTATTCGAATAGTAACTTGGATTATTTGGTAATATTATTTCAAATGGATTAATAATGTTTGTTCTTTTGCATTAATGAAAAAGAAATGTTCTTATCAATTTCTTATTTCGTAATGTTTCGGCGACATAATATTGACACAACAATTCTACATCAATTACGGTTTATAGGACATGAAAATAACCCATTGTCTAATTACCCTAAACAATCAGATGCATCATCCGATTTCATGATCAAATATTTCATGAAGACTTCATATTTGGCATTAAAACCAATATAAAGATGCTAGGCCTTTTTGTGCATGAAATTATATCAGATGATTATCAAGTATGTACAGTACCTCGTACTGAAATTAATTATTTAATAAATCAGAAGTATATAAAAATAATTTGAATTTTATCTTATTATTAAACAAATGTATCTTTACAAATGGTTTAAAATTACAGTTAATATGTTACTATGCCAATAATAAGTTTTGTAATACTCTTTATTACTGTTAACGATTTAAAACTAGTTTAATTTTATAATTATGATAGGATAGCATGTTTTGATAAGTGTTCTTTCATAACCTAAATGTACAAAAATTGAGATAATTAAGATTATAATTGTAACCAAACTGCATATGTATGTACAGTACATTCAGTCATATCTAGAGATCAGTGACGCATATCTAGCGTGAGATCATACGCGATCCATGTGATATTGATGTTAATAAATCAAAAAAAGATAAATACTACTGTATTAATTTCGGATTTATACGATCTATTGACGCTGACACTAATGTTTGATTTCTTAGTACCGTATACTTCTGTACTTTCGTAATTAAGCACCCCTCGGAGCAATTTTTATAGCCAAAATTCTCGTGATCCAATAATCGGATCTAATTAGATCACGAGAATTTTGGCTATAAAATTTGCTCCGAGGGGGGTGCTTGATTTCAGAAGCATACCGATACGGTACATGTTTGATTTCTTAGTACGCTAATGCGACATTCCTAAGTCTAAAATTTGCACAGCAATTAATAGCCAATGTCTCACGCCAAAGCTAATCACATAATTATGCATAGCATAAGAACTATTTCAGCTTGCTTAAAGGCGTTTCAAAATTGATTTTGATATGAAATTGCTGAAATATTTCAGAAATTTATATGTCGAATATTTTCAGCCAAATCTATGACATACTAAAAATATAATACAAATTAGTTTTAGTTTATGAATATACAGTCAAACTTCACTATAATCACACACTTGGGATACAAAAATGTGTGATTGTAGAGAAGTATGACAGTTATATAGGTCAAATTTATTCTATTTAATAATAAGTTGCTTTTTAAAAAAATACGTATATAAAGAAAATGTACTTATTAAGGAGGTGACTATGGAGAGGTCTGACTGTATTTCAGATTTTGGCTTTTGCTCTAAATTGTGGCATAAATTACGGCTTGCGGTTTTATTTATATCAAAGTCGATGACTAATTATTTTCGACACAGCCGTAACTAGTTTTTACGGCATATATATTTCGAAATAAGAAGATTAAAACCACCATAAAAAATTATAAAGATAAATACAAAACCTTAGTATATATAAATGAATATCAAAAGAAAAAAAAAAAAGAAAAACAATAAATAATAAAAAAAAATTCTGTGATTACGCAATGCAACCATTAAATACAATGCAAATTTCCGAAAACAAAGTTTTTACACGATACATAGCAGCGAAGCCACGAACTCTTCGCCAATATTGTTAAATTGTTAAGCCAGTTAATTAGATATTTATTAATTGATTTCCAGATATATTTGGACAAACGTCCATGTTTGTTTTTAAATACTGTCTTAATAAAAAATTTCATGTTTTTTTTGCATATTTATAAGAATTAATGATCACATTGAAAATTCTTATGTGCCTAAAATGAGTTCATCAGTACCTGAAAAACTAATAGTTGAAGATCAAGCTAATATTTCTATTGACAATACCGATATTGTTACTCCACATGGGGGAAATAAAATTAGTTCCTATGTTTTTTCACTGAATATGCAGTATATTGTGACTTGGAGCCAAGATGATGAATCAATTGTTGGATGGAACATTACCAATGAACCCTCAATCGAACCTATCAATTCATTAAATACCGATGAGCTCAAATCTTTGTTAAAGATTAATACCTTCAAAAGGTTAAGTTTAAAAGGAGCCTCAGATTGTAAACAATTTATAATACTAAAATTTGGTTAGTTAAAATCGTTGATATTTTAATTATATTTTAAATTTATTCTAATACAATTTTTAACATAATTTTAACAGAGCAAAATCATAAAGATTATTTTGCAGTTATTGATATCATGACCAAATCTAGGCAAATATTGAATGCACAAGGTTTAAAAGATAATTATTATAATGGTATTGCTTTTCTTGAGAATGGAGATTTAGCAATTGCCAAAGGGAAGCCAGTTCATCGGGCTTATATCTTTTCAAAGACAAAATTTAATGACCAATATCAATGGACATGTAAAAATAGCTTTGAACTTGAAAAATATAAATTTTGCCAAATTAATAAAAATGGAACGTTGTTTATGTATTTTAATGCACCTTTTGTAATCACACAATGGAATTTAGTAACTCGGAAGTTTGAAGTGCAATATATACCAATTTTGTATTTAAAATATGCAACTGACTCATTAATAAATAGTGATAAGACATTGTTAGCAGTAGCTTTTTATACAGAAAATTATAAAAATATAGCAGTTTATGTTTATTCAACAAAAACTGGTATTGCGATAGCAAATAGTAAGTATTTTATATATAAAGTTTCTATAAATATAAGCAAAAAGATTTTTAATTTGATTTAATAATTTAGGAACATTTAGCAATGTGTATTCAAATAAGTTATGTTTTATTGGTTCAAGAGAGAAAGAACGTTTGTTTTTATCTTTCAAGAACAGTGAAACAGAGAATTACGACTATTATATATTGAATCCTCTCACTTTTACACTTGACAAGTCACCGGATACTCATGTCCTACATGATATTTTAAGCCAAAAATATGAAGTTATTAATGATTATCTTATTAAAATTGATAATAATTATTTGTCAATTCAAAGATTATCTCAAAATGAAAATTGGAAAAATTATTTACAATGCAAGGAACGTTTTGTAGGTAGTACTTTTTTCAATACAAAAGAAATTAAGCAATTTATACAGACTACTTTGGAAAATTATGAGTCGAATCAATATTTAGCTCAAAATTACTCTGACGAACCTGAAGAATATCCTGGAGAGTCATGTACTTGGATTATCACAAACGAATATGAATATAAATATCGTTTAAATCAGACAACAGTAAAAGCCCATATTAAGTCTAATTCGAATGAAGTTTATGAAAATACATTTTATTCATATGATACTGCTGATAGTTATTTTTTAGAAATTAAATTACTTGAAAATGATGATATAATATTTGTTTCTTCTTCTGGCATACGAATTTTTTCAGTAAATTCTGAAATTTCTGATATTAGATTTATTTGGTTTGGGAATAAAGATATGCAAAAAACATCAACTCTAGAAGCTCAACAATCTATAATTAAACATCTTATTTCTTTTAAAAATAATCTAGATCATGATATTGAAATTTTACCAATACCAAATCTTGATTATGGTTTCGTATACACTTGGAGAAATAATGAAATAGCGTAATAATTATATGGAAAAGAGATAATTTGCCAATCTAAAGAGTATGATTTATTTAATGAGATACTTAATAATTGTTATAAATATAGTATATCAATGTTTGAAATTGGTGACATTGATAACTTTATACTATTTTAAAGTCAAATTGCTTTTGCACTAGTAGAATTAGAAAAATATAACAAAAATCTAAGAGCTACTGAAAAAGTTTTGTTAAAAATTAATTTACTAGTCATTCCGATATTACTTGATAGATATATAAATGACTCTTCTTTATTAACTCATCTTCAATGTTGTGAAAATTATGTTCATTCATATTTATCTAACACTTCATTCTTTGATCACTTGCACTTTTGGATTTCTGAAAATTTGAACATTTTAAAACAACATTATCCACAAATTTATAAAATTTTAATATCTCCTTATTTATTTTATTTATCATATTTTACTACCTATCCTCAAAAAAATATAAAATTAATGTTTCCTTTGTTGAATTTTGCCACATATCCCCAAAATTATTCTTATATCGAACTAATTTATTTAAATAGTAATACCTTTCCTCATTAAATACTTCTGATTATTTCAAATGGTGGAATATTAAAGCTCTTATTAATTTTAAGTGGAACACCTATGGAAAACATTATTATTTTTTAATATGGACAATATATTCAATTTTTATGGTCTGTTTTTTAATAGTTTCAACAATTTCCAAAAATGAAATTTCTTGGAATAATCAATTGTTTCTTTTAATAGTAACTATTTTTCTTGGATTTATTCATTTTATCTTTGAAGTTCGTCAATTTATTCATAAACCAATGCCATATATTACTGGTCCTTGGAATTGGTTTGGTATTTATGTTTTTAACTAGGTAATTAATTTGATATTACAGTATATACTATTACTAAAAATTGTTTTATAAATTAATTACAGATCTTGCTGCAATATTATTTCCAACAATAACTTCAATAATATGGTTACATGATATAACTTTACCAGTCTGGATTATTACTATTTCTGTTTTTTTACTTGAAATTAAGTTTTTATTATTTTTCCATGTTTTGGAATATTTTGGAACTTATTTTGCAATTATGATTGGAGTTGTACAACAAATTTTTTCTTTTCTTGTTGTTTTAGGCATTTTGGTTTTGGCCTTTGCCCATTCTTTATATATTTTATTAAGACCTACTACTGAATATTCTTATAAACAACCAAGTTATACTGATGATATTAATAATCCTTGGAATCTTGTTTCAACATATCAATTTATTTCGCCTAATGGTACATTTGGAGAGTCGTCTCTTATTGAAACCCCTGATGATAACACAAATTTGTTTGCACTATTCAGTACTTCTATATTAGCTATATATTTTATGTTAACAGGTATTATATATATGTAATAAAAAATTAAATAATATGTAACAAGAAATAACTTATTAATTTAATTTTATTTTAGGTGATTCAAGTGCTGTCTCTTCTTGGTTTATAAAAACAATTGGATGCTAGTATTTTTATTGGCTATATTTTCATTTTTTACAACAATTTATTTATTAAACCTGTTTATTTCATTACTTGGAAATGCTGTTGAAGAAACTAATAATAAGGAATCTTTTTTACAACTAAAACATGAGGTAAAGTTTTACTTATAATGTGAGGTTGCAATTTATACAGTACTTTTTTAAAAAATATTATAGCTATTTACTTTATTATAATATCTAAATTAGCTTGGTATTATAATAATATCTAATAAATCGCATAATATTTAAAAAAAGAAAATGGAAAAAATATAGGAAATACAAATCAAATATGACTAATCTATTATATTATAATCACACATAGATATTATCAGAAATTGAACTTTTTTGGATGTTACCTCATCAAAGAAGGAAAAAAACCTGGTTTCCAGATATATTGTAATTATTTATTATTATTTTTTATTATTTAATTGTGATTATAATATCTTTTAATTTATAATTTAAATCTTAGATATTATGAAGCATCAGTTTTTGAGCTTAAAAAATATGTAAAAAGTATTGAAGATGAAGAAATTTTACAATGTTTGCGTCCCAAAATTAAAGAAATTGCTGAATTTAAAGAAATTAAAGACAGTAATGAGGATCTTAAAGATATAATAAAAGCTCAAATAGATGAATCACTAAATGATAAATTAAAGACACAAATAAACGAGTCATTAAAAGATATACTAAAGCTTCAAACAGATAAATCATTAAAAGATATACTGAAGGCTCAAATAGATGCAGCATTAAAAGGTCCAATCGATAAATTTAATAAATTAATTGAGTTTATTGAGAAAAAAGCTTCAGAATAATTCTAACCGGAAATCAATTAAATAGATAAAGTAACAAGTCATAAGCCTGCCATGAGCTGGGAGTTTGTTTCTTTTTTTTGTTTTTATAGTTTGGGAGTTTTTTTCCCCTGGTTTTTAAGTAAGTAGTTCAAGTTTTTTTTTTTTAATAGATGGAATTATTGGGAATAGTAATTTGATCATTGTCTATTTGGTTGTAAGTAATGATGCAGACATTTCTCAGAGTAGTGACTACTTATGGTATTACAGTTGTTGTACTATTCGAAGTTATATGCCATATAGCGTTACTACCCTGAAAAATTTCGCTAGCATCCAAATTTTAGTAAATACAAAAGAACAATAGTTTTGTATGAGATGGTTCATGCATTTCATATAATTATACAAAATCTCTTTGTTAGTTTCTTTAACATTTGATATAGTATAAGTGTGAAATGGCGCCTGTATACATGTTCAAATATACCCATTCGCATTATTTTGAAATTAGTGTAGATTTTCTAAATCCAATACGTTCAACCTTCCATAAATGTATGTTTTCAAGTAAAAGTGCATTTATAGAATATTATTCATTTGTAGAGTATAATCTATAATAACAATAATATTAAATAATTGTTGCAGTTAAATAGTTTGATTAAACTATGTAACCAATAAATTATGTTCTATGTACATTAGGATGAATATTATTTTTGGATGCACATAGTGCTAAAATATAAGTTATTTTTGAAGGATCCGATTTTTAAAATAATGCCTATGAGCGTTATTTTGCATTTATACGGTAATTTGTTAAATGAAATCTGTTCCAAAGGTTCTAAACTGAAATTCTCTAATGCATCATTAATATTCTCATTTTTACTTGGGATCAATTCTAAACACCATTCTTTAAATGTGTTGTCTTTATTAGAATGTTTACTTTTGCTGGTTTTAGAATATTTTAATCATTGTATATTTTTCATATGTATTTTTCATATGTATCATTAAAAACTTATTGTAATATTCACTGACTGAATGGAAAGGTAATCAGAAGGGTATTAGTTAGTGGCAAATAAGTGTTTGTAAAAATAAATCACTTTTTTAACCCACTACTATACTAAATAAGGTGAGTAATGGCATATAGTATTCGTATGATATATAACACTTATATGGCATGCATCACTTCTACTTATATAGCAAATATGCCGTATCACTGTGATATTTTTGCTCGGGTAGCTACCCTTAAAATTTTAAATGTCTCTACCTCTAGTTGTAAGAATGATGTTTATTTGTATATTATTTTTATTTTTAATAATAAATTTTGGTAGGATGAAGAATTAAACTTTTACTTATCTGTTTTAGTTTTATAATTCTTAATTCTAGTGTAAATAAAGGCTTCTAATTATTTTGCTCTATTGCAAAATTGGTGATCAGGATTTTAATTTTTGGTGAGTTAATTAAAATTATTTTTGATTTGTTATTGTTATCCAATTATTTTAAGAAGAGTGTCTTTTTGTTATATGGGTATTTAAAGTAATTGATTGTTGTTTAGCATTTATAAAAGTTACATAAAATTTAATATAATTGTAATCAGTTTAAATTAAAATTATATGAGATGAGTTTGTACTTACTTTTGAGTGTGAATCTTTTTTTCTAAAGGTGTAGAAATATGATAGTATATAATGTAAATCTATATGTTAGAAATTGGGTGCGAAAGTTATTGAATTTGTAAGCATTTTTGTTATATTTGTTATTTTGTTTGAGTTTGTTAGTAGTTTTTGAGGATTAAGCTATTGTGATGCTTATTATGTTTGGTGCATAAATAAAGTTTTGGTTAAGGTTAAATTAGTATACGCTGTGAATAAATAAGTTTTAATTAGTGATGTAGGTTTTGTATATTAAATATGTATCGTGATGATAATTACTGTAATTGGCTTTTGTTAAAAAGCTCTTGCTTCAATTTCCATTTATCTAAATCTTTTAACTTAATCATTATTTATAATCGAATTTTTTCAAGATGTCTTCCTTATTTTTATTATTTTATTCATGCGCTTTAATAATAATGAATTCCTTTTTTAGTTAAGATTTTTTTTTTATTCATGCACCTTACTATGTATTTAGAAACGATTAACAAATTCTTTCATTCTTGCCTTTGGCGATCAGTGATTATCAATTCATCAGCCCAATAAAAAATCTGACGAAAGAAAAACGAAAATTATTAAATATTCATTAAAGTGGTATACAAATTTATATTGAGTCAGTGATTTTTGTATCAAAAATTCTTATTTTTACTATCATATATTATTGTTTATCCGGTTTTAGCAGTTGAGTTAACTCACAAGCTAGAGCTAGAGCTCGAGCATAGCTTATCATGTGCTGCTCTTGCTCTTGCTCTTGCTTTAGCTCTAGCTCTAGAGAAGAGATATAATGACTACAATTGGTTGAAATTTGTGACACTAAAAATTTCCAAAAAAAGTTATTTCAAAGAAAATCATTCCTCAAAAATATTTAGTTAATTCCTAGAAGAGCAAAGAAGAGCAATTTAGCATAACACCATTTGCCAACAATCATTTCTAAGGGCTAAATGGTTGTACTGACAGAAATTTAGTAGTCATATATATACTATTTTTTCCCACATATATATTTATATATACATTTATTTATTAATTAAATAGTATTTTAGAAATAAATATAACATGACATAAAGAATATTTCCCAAACTATTTCAATTTCTATTGGAAGTAGATACATATACAGTAGAATATCTGTAGGTTGAACCATAGCTGCTTAATTTTACGATATATAGTCATGGTTGAATTTACCGCAAAATTATTTTATTCTTATTTCTTTCATGCAAACCATTAATTCTATTTAAAATTTTATTGTCAATGTCATTATAAGTAAGGCCATAATTTTATAAATAATTTAATGGAACTTGCAGGAATTCAACAAAATATATAAATATGTTTCAAATAATACACGCTAGGCTTTTTTATTTATATAAACATAATTACAAGACAGTATCTTGCTGTTAATATATTATTTAATAATTTTAACAAAGCAGATATTAGTACTACAACACAACTAATAAAAGCGTACGTATAGATAAAGTTATATTAATCTCAAGTATAGAATTCAAAGTGATGTACTCGAACAGCAACTTTTACAACTTTCACACTCTTCGTCCAGAGATTTATAATCGAGTTCGCAAGTTGAGGCGAGTAAACTAATCATCTTTTATTTATATTTATTGCTCTAACTTCGAAATGTGATCATTAATAATAATAATATGAGAAATCCAACATTGAAACAAATTTCATTATTATATCTAATTTCTGAAAGCATGTTCTTAATTTTTTAATATATTGTATAAAATATGATGAAGAGAATTTGCTATTACTTGGTTAAAAACTCTGTTATCTTTTTTATTTTATTACTGAAATAACCAGAAGCGTAACTGAGTAACCGGTTAATGAATAAAGTATTAATATTAAAGGGAATTATGCAAATTTTCTAAACGGTTCATAGTTTCACTAACAAAATTCGATGAATTACTTTCGTATACCCGTTTATTCACGGGTAATAATGGTTTTCTTTGTCATATGAATCTGCCAATTATTGCATTATCACTTACATCTTCCTCGGAGAATAATTTCATATATTTTTGTGATATATGATAATTTAAATAATTTTGACAGTTTTAAGGATTCCGTATCTCTTCGTTCGGTTAATTCATTAGATGTAATGTATAGCTTTTCTATCAAAATCATTACATGTGATTTTAAGCCTAATCTTTATTTCGAAAGCTGATCAGAATATATTTAGTAACTTCTTGAAGAATAAATAGATTTGAAAGACCGATCTTGCCTTGCTTGTAAATATATAAAATTTGATAATTGAATAATAATGGCGTTTGGTAATTTTCATATGCCAGAGATAACTTTGATAATAACTTGCCAGTATCATGTATGGTAGGGTTTATTTTAATACCCTGAAAATATACCCCCAAATATGAAATTCGTTTTCAAAATAAATAGCACACCAATTTTTGCATTTTGAGGTTAAAATATGTACGTACGTACGTGCATATTACTTTATAAATTATTATACATTGTAGACAAAACAAGAACTTTGATATGCAAATAACGAGTTTTATGCATTGCGTGAGAATAGGCGTTAGATTTATATTACATGCATATGAATACGTATCAGCGCCTTCGTAAGATGTTTCTTCTAAGCTCTATAATATAAACTGAACGCATTATAAATTTCAAATTATGTCCATTATGTCTTTATTAAAGTTTTAAGGTTTACTAAAAGATATACAAGATAAGAACTGATTTTCAGGTTAACATTTTAAGTTTATCAATTGTATACATTTATGGAATTGAATCCTTAAATTTAAATTTTGATTATAAACTCACAGATAGAACAATAAACCTTTTTCAACAAATGTTCTTTCAAAATTCATGATGTAATATGCAACCTTTTGATTATCTTCTAAACAATTTCCAACCGTTTAAATTACATGTGAAAGAGATACGAAAAGAATTTAGATAATATAGAAAGTATTTGAAAAAAGTGCATATTGCATCAAAAATTTTTGAAAGAATACTTTTGAAAGAATACTTGTAAAAAACGTTTATTGTTCCACCTGTGGACGGTTACGCCTTTTTTTTTTTTTGAATTCATTACAAGTCTAAATATACAGTAAAAAGGACCAGTCTTCTCGAATACGTTTACTAGCATTATGTCATAAAATAGTTAAACTGAGTTTCATTATATTGAAAATAGAAAAGTCATAACACTGTATCTTTAAATTTCGTCTAATAAACCAGTGACAAATTTATTAAACCTTAAATCTACAGAATACTTTTTATTTCTATCATCTGCTAAATAAATAAATATATATATATATAAACTAAATCATTATCAATATTAAAAAAAAATTTTTCTTAGTACACTTTTTATCACGCTAAATATTTAATGTATTTATTTTATTATTATTATACATTTATTTGTAAATACTTTGATTTTTGCATTAGCAACGATTTTTATCTTCTTCCTTTATTAAAAAGGATATCCTCAAACACTTTCATTAACATTAACAACGATTTAACTAAACTATGGAAAATCAAAAAATGGAGGTAGAGATAACTCAAAGTCTTAAGATTATCATAAATGCTGTAAACACGGGGTTTGATTGTTTTTTTTATCGTAAACTTAAATCTGATGACCCTATCAATTAAGCAAGAGTTTGAAAAAATTACAGAACAAGGAACAGCATTTTATGATTGCTGTGTAATGTCAATTGCGTATAGTGATCGTTTAGGTATATATGCTGATGGCTTAACGAATTTAAGAAAATTTTTTGAAGGTAATAAAAATTACGATTAAAACATTTATGTCATCTAACATTTTCGAATATCTACAGTTATTCTTATTGAAATTTAACCAAATCTACTCAATTTTTTTTTAATATTAGATAAAAATTATGATATCAACAGTATAAGAAGTATTATGAATAGTCTTAAAGACGAATGCGACTTTAATGTGAAACAGATCGAAAAATTAACAAATAATTTCGAGAGTATAAAAGTTGAAATCACAAGTGTTAGAAATAAATTGAATAAACATAGATATAGTAATAATAATTCGATTAAAATTAAGGAAGAAAAAATTTTAAATTATAGATTCTGGATTAAAGTTGTAAAGGGATTGTTGATAAGTTTGTTTATTGCTTTGTTGTTAGCAATTTTTCATGCCCGAGATGTAATAGTTTCATTATCAATCTTAATCTTAATATTAGTTGCGTTTATTATTTCTAAAATCTATTCTTGTTATATGAAAAATATAAATATAGAATTAGAGAGTGCGACAATGCTTAGTACCGATGATATGGAGAATATTGAAGAGGTGGAGAAAGAATTAAAGTTTATAATCGGTCAACTTATGAAATTTAGAACTTATTGGGATGATCGTAATGTTCGTTTAGAAACTCTTATTCAAAAGCTTTCAACCGAAAAATCTGATGTTTTATTATTCATAGAAAATTCGATTAGGGAGGGATGGAAAGATGTGAAGTCTGAATGCGATGAATATAATAAGGCAATAAGTGGTATGATTTATAGAGTGGACAATAGATTTATGGATGAGAGACAGGTGAATTTAATAATCATTTAATAATTGCTTCAAGATGAAACTATCATTTATTATTTTCTATTTGTTTTATTTAGAGCGAACATGTGAAGTCTGAATGAGATAAATAATAAAAACAATAAGCGGCGTGATAAGATGGATAATGTGAATGACAGAGAGGTAAATTTAATAATCATTTAAGAATCTCTTCAAAATAAAACTATTTACTAATCACTTCTATTTGTTTACTTAGAACGAGGTTTCATATTACATGAAATTATAAAGCATTTTATTCTTTACACCATTTTTTTTACTTCGTTATAAGAATGCAAATGTAACTTTATTCCATTGTTTTTTCGATTTATTATTATACTAAACCCGGTGCCTAAAGGGGATATAATATAAGAAAAATTTTAACAACATTTTCTTCTTTTAATCAATCAATCAATACGTTTATTTTTTATTTTTCATTTTGATTTTAAATTTTATTTTTCAATAAAATGAAATTTTTCTATTCTATTTTTAATTGCTAATATGTTGCAATTTATTTTTAATTACAATTTAATCTCTTATACGTCACGTCCATAGGAAGACTTTCATATGATTGTTTCAATTTAATTCTACGTTATTTATACATTTTATGATAAAGTACTTTTTCAAAAAAAAAAAAGAAGTATATTGAAAGTTATAAAATTCCACTAACAAAAAGAATCAAAAACTTTTCATATTTACAGGCATAGCAATAATTTCTCGAAAATAGGCTACAACCATACTAACTTCTATAAATAAGAAAAGCATTTGATTATTTAATTAATCTTATCAAACATTATCGCTATTAATACATACGTATCATTTGTATTGTATGCTTGTGTTACAGGTGATTAAAAATTCCAATGTAATTATATTATTGTTGTCCGGAGCGTAGAGACGGACTTTTAGTGTCTATGCAAGTGATATAAAAGTTACCAAGAATAGTTACCATTTGATGCATCTGCATAAAAATCATGATGGCTATATCAAAAATGTAATTTAGTAATTTTTTATTTACTCGCGCGCGTGTTCAAATTTGCAACGCGTTTGTTATACGTATAATAATCTTCATGTTGTTATAGATAAATGTAAAATTTGATAAATAGTATATTTTTATTTTATTTTATTTTCTATGAATTATTTTTCTGTATATAGTTTTCGTCACGCGCCAATTCCATTTTGATAACTATGCCCAATATAGTAAATTTATTATTTATTTAACAACTATGCCCAATATAGTAAATTTATTATTTATTTAACTTGTAATAATTAGTTATACAAAACTAGGGCTGTTAGTTAGTCCGTCCGATCCTTCTTTAAAAAGTTAGACCGGACTGCGGCCCAGAGCCAATCTGTATGAACTGGGCGGATGTTAGACTAATTAAATGCACCAACATATTAACGTTAAGTTATATATAGTTATATAGTTATTATAAGAATATAACTAATTTCACACGGGTTTGTAGTGGCCTTCGGCCCCGTGGTCTAAATATAAACCCGTGTGTAATTAGTTACACCCAGATGCACGTCAACTCGAATGAATGGCCAGGATGTGAATACGTATCTATTTTAAAAACTATACCACCTGATTATCATATTGAGCTCGTTTATCAATATTGTATTTGTGAAATTTGTAAATCAAAAAGAATCTTCGGTCATATAAGGGCCCTTCGGGCCTTTATATGACCGGGAATTTACCTCCTATTCCCGTTGTTGCAAAAAATTAACAGTACACATTAAGCATTTTTTATTACTAACGAGTTTGCTAATTATAATTCTAATGTTAAATTTTAAACCACTTAATATTATATTCTTTCCCGTTCCTGGTTTTGCGCGATGACGTCGCGCAGCTACCTTATGTTTATATTAGTGAACAAAATCACAAAAAACCAGTCGTTACAATAATTTAACGCTAACTATATTAGGACTGATGGTCCGTCCTATAAATGACTAGACTGGCCCGGTCCTAAGACGGACCGCAGGACCAGCGGTTTTATTCGAACTGATTAACAGGCCTACACCTGATTACGGCATAAGAAATTCATTTTTTTTCCGGACCAGTTAAATAATGGAGATTATTCGGATTGCCTATATGAGTGACGCCAAGGGAAAAGGGAACATTCATTTTTATTGATTATTTAGATGATCGACAACACATCGGGATTTCAATTATGATAAACTAACCTCTGAAAGTGTCGTCTTAATGAAAGTCCAATATGTTGTGATAAATAATCAATAAAAACGAACGTTCCCTTTCCCTTGGCGTCACTCATATTTTGTCAATCGTGTTGCAGATTCACGGAATTTTCACAAAATATGTGGAAAAATAATAAATATTCGGATAAAATTTCTTACAATGCTTAGCCTATGGCTTTATGTCAGCTCAATAAAATGTTTTCTCACGACTACAATTAGATATTTCATTTATTGTGTACACGATCTAAATTTAATATATCAAATTAATATCGCAAAAAATCAGTTAAGTTAGAAATTTTTTGTTATTTTACATAATTTTTTTTACATATATCTATGTTGGATTTATAAAGCTACATATAAATTTTACATAACTCTACATATAAATTCTATCGATTTACCAATAGAGCTATTTGCATTCTGATATGTATTGAACGTCTATATTAACTCGATTTGTATTCTAATGGTCTCCTATTTGCACCAATATCTGTTTCAAATTATATTCACATCGAGATTACGCGATGCCGGTTGGATCCTTCATCTAACCTGTTAATTGTATTAGTACATAAATATTAGAGATGGATACCGCGTAAGAAATTTTTCTTTGAACATATAAATAAGGGCACTTATCACCTCTGATGAATGATTAAAACAAACCAAAAAACAAAGGATCTTTGATAAAAAAAGAAAATTAATATTTGCATTTAAACTCATAAAATCATGAAGGCAATTAACGTCATTTTAATTTTTATGGTCTTTTTCATTTTGCTTGATATTTCTAAGAGTACTCCTTTGGAAAGACGTCAACAACAGTATGCTTTAATTCCTTATTCTTGCGTTTTAATTTATATATTAATTTACTAAGTAATTTTGATAATAACTTTCCAGGTGTGTTGGAATGGTATTGTTCATAATTTCTTATTCGATTCAATACTTTGATTTGTCAATGTAAACCGCTCTAATTTCTATTTTCTTTTGTAAATTTAGGAAGATGCACCGTGTGGAAATAGACCAGGTGGAGGTACTTACTGCTGCACTTTGGTATGTCCATTTTCAATAATAGCATAGGTATTTCTTTATTTATCATTAATTATTTACTATTGTTTACTCTTATAGCCACACGTAGATTGTTGCACCGGCAAAGCCGGTTGCTGCTTCCCAGATGGTTCCTTTTGTACAACCTGTTGATTATTGATAATACTTGGGTGGAATTTCTTATTGCTAGTGTTTAGAATTTGCTTGTTTTATTATTATTATTATTATTATTTTGTAAATAACGAAAGTGTATAAGTACACAGTAGACCCATTAACTATTCAACACTTTTCTTATTTTGAATTTCTTATATTTATGTATTGGGCATTTGTCACATATTTTATCTGATGTTATTATTACCCACACACTGAATGTTCTTACAATTTAATTATAAAATTAGCAACAGATATATTATATTAATTCACAAAAGTAAATGTTTTATATTAAACAAGATAAAGCGTTGCGCTAATGCTGTGAGCCTTGTGAATTAGATACGCTAAAGTAATATAAATGTCAGGGACTCGGTAAAATATCGTTTTTAGTTATGAAAATTTCAAATTCTATAAAATCGATATTTTTCTGGGTCCCTAATAAGAGTATAATCTTTAGTGATCGGGACTATGTGTATTATCTGTTAACCGTTGCCCATTCTATTCTATTTTCCTCTTGTTAATTACCCATTCCTCCCAAATTATTAATAAAAGTAATACTTTTATATATTTACAGCATTCCCATTCTACTTCCGATTATATATAATTTGATAATTTATTACAAAAATGTAATCATGGATTATTCTCGCCATATGATTATGATATTATTAGTGCTTATTGATAAAAACTAGAGCTTCGATCCTATTTTTCATGATGTAACGAATTATTATCTCTTTTCAGTTTACTAGTATATTTTTCCTATCCTGTTTATTTTATTTTTACTTTATTAGT